CCCCCCTCCTCACAGGCGGCGCCGGCTCCAGCGGACAGTGGCTACATCCACCTTTCCGAAAATGAATTAGACAAAACCCACCTAGAGAAAGCTTCTCCCGTGAGAAGATCTCTGGCCCATGCAAGTTCTCTCGACGTCAGTACAAAGCCTCGTTGCGTCGCTTCTGCTCTGGAGGATGTCTTGCATTGGCTTGAAGTTGACATCCATGGCGAAGGTCCTGATAAGCAAAAGGAGAAAATCCGAAGCAAAAAAACTGGACTTCACGTGGAGGAATGAAATAAAAACAAAGGTTAGGAGAGAAAGATGGCAACAAGCATGACAATTAAATGGGGGTGAGACAAAACAAGTACCAACATAAAGTGCTAAAAGCTCCAAGGGCAAAAACGGTCAATGAGCTGGACGTATTCACCGTGGTATTCTCGGTAGAGGAATGCTCAAATCCCATGAAAGGATTTACTAAGTCTATAGACATCGCAATTACCTGTAAAGAGGTAACTTTTCCATCGCCATTTTATCCGCTCACTATGTGAGGACCAGCGGCTACCTCTGTTACTGTACATGCTGTGAAGAACTACTGTTGTACAGTTGATCATTCATAAGCCCCTACCTCAGACCAATTCTCCGACTAGGAAATGTGGCGACGGGAGGGGTTAAATAATACGTCTACTACCCAATGGCGGTTGATACATACAGTTGTGCAAAAGATGGACCATCAGCTTGAGCAGCGGGCATTCAATTACCTCTCTCAATCATCGAAGCACGGTTAGGTATCGATACACCATTATCCGTCATCTCCGAGCCTTTCTTCAAAAAGGAGTAACAGTCACATCTTATTGAAAGCACAAAGAATCATTAGACATGAATTTTGCGATGTTCATTCACTTCACCGCTTTCCCTCTTTTCCTTACTTCAATAAAGATCTTATTTTGCTTCGCTAAAGGTTTCATATGCAAACATCATATCGCGGCTTTATGAATGCCATGCTACTATGCTCTTTCTCCCTAGTAAGATGACCCTGCTCAGCAAGCCTATTCTATTTAGAAAGATAGTCCCAAAGACAATTCATTCATGGATCAGACGATGTCGCCCAGATCCAGCCCTACAAGCACACCGGCGCCCATTCCTAGCACAAAAATCACATAATACGCCCTCTGTAACGCCTGCCCGCCAATATCCATCGATTCCGGGTATGAAGTGAGGTTACCTGTCCTCGAATGCCTTTGCCTGCCTACCAGCCGTACTGACCTAGACAAGACAAGTTTAAATAACTTGGCTCAAAAAGGCCTGTCGCAATAAAAGTCGCAAAGAAACAAACGAGAGAAAGAAAAAGAAAAAGAAAAAGGTAACAAAAAAGAGCCAAGAAAAAAGAAACCCCAATGTCATAGTCATCTCAGTGTACATGCACGCCCTAAACCACCATAATCCAATTCCAAATTTGTAACCAGGTGTCTTGAAGTCTTATGCCTTTGTTTATTTCCAAAGGTATTTTTTTTTTGGCTTAATCTATCGTCATGCGATTCGATTGTTTTTGAGAATGACTGAGATCTGGTAATTCGGTCATATTGTCGATTTTCTCCTCTTCGCCACCGATCTTTCGTCTCCTCAAATGTGGCTTAAGACCTTTATTGAAATTTGCCGTACATAAGGAAGCGTTTACGATCGTTAGGATAATTAGAATGATTGTGATGACAGCAAAACTTGTCAAATTCTTACGAACTGGCAAATAGTCTGCAGCTTTGGCCGGTTGGTACATTCGGGCAAGTTTAAAGATAAAGTAGGCTAGACCACAATGGAAGATGAAAATGGCTGAGAGCATCCCTGGTTTGTTTTCGCGACGAGTCCAGAAGGCGGCCATGAATAGAATGAAGATGGTAACGGGGATGGCTGCTATTGTCAAGCCAAACTCGAAATCTTGTACACCAGTAACGATAACTAGAAATTGGACCGTGAATCCCAGGAAGAAGAAGAAATCGAATTTCAACAAGGCAATATAAATCTAGGCTTATTAGCTAGTATTCATGAGATTGAAAATATGGAGACTGTTGCACTTACTTGGTAGGTCAGGAATCTCCGTTTCATTCGCAAATCAGCGCTGATGTGTTTGTAAATTGTCCAGGCAAATTCGTCGTAAAGTTTCCAAGCTATGAGTGACATCAAGACGGTAAAGAAAGCGATAATACATGGAACTGCGACTAAAAATCCTTGCACATCCGGCCAGACATTCGCATTCGCATCCACATAACCAAGGTTACCCAGGGACTCAATCGCCGTTTGAATTTGATCGTATTGAATCGAGGCGTATATCAACATTCCACCATTGTACATGCAGAGACCGATAACCTGAATTGTGTTCTTAAGTCGCAGCGAATCGTATACCAAGACAACCTGATAGAGGAAACCAAAAATGAACAGGGTGAGATAGGTTGGAATTGTTCGATCGAGGGCTATTTGTTCTTTGCCTTTAACCAGACTCGTTTGAAACTTTGCGAATACATATCTAGTGATGCATGTTATTAGATGAACCCCAAGAACGATGTTGTAATATTTTTAATATTGTTAAAACTTACGATTCAATGGCCAAAACGGCTGCGGCTTGTATGGTTGCGGCAAGCATGAACGCCCATGTCCATGTGGTATTTGGGATATACATCTTCTCTTTCCTACTTGTTGCTATCCCGTTGGGTCCTGATGTGAGTCCTTCGCGATGAAAATAACCTCCAGCGTCTTGTTCATATGGTCCCTGACCAAGAGAAAGCAGGGACTTTCGAGAGTCTTTGCTGAAAGCCACGTCTGCGGTGTTTAAGGCCCCTTAACAGGAGCCAAGGTGAATGACTTAAATCTGTCGTAAAACCCAGAAAGAGTTCCGGATAAGGTGCGAAAAAGTTGAATCGATCAATGCAGTGACAGCGGGGAGTCTCGGGAGAGAGATATTGATGTTTGACGCAGACTAGGAATGCTAGACTATCGGTCGCATGGATTGGTAGGTAAAATGAATCAACGGCTGTCTGTTGTGTTCTGTGGTTCGTTATGAGTATGAATGAGGTGCGACCCAATGATGAAACGTCAAGAGTGTGGCGTTGAGATTCTTTTCGAGGTGGGTTTTAAAATGAGTAGGGATTCTATAATAGGTCACAGGTCGTAGGTCGCATGTAGGGAAAGAGAAGGTCGTGTGAGCATGCGATACAATGGAAAGCGAAAGAGTGTGCGCTGCCAACGTAGGTTAATTGAAGATGGGTACGATAGGAGGTCGAATAACGAAAGGATTAATTCCCTCTCCCTTTTCTTCTCTTAGGTATGAATTAGGTTTGCGGACGGGCCGGCATGGAATGTTGGACGGCGGAAATTGGTGTTGACGTTAAGGCGGAGGAGTGACGAAGGGGGGCGTATAAGAAGTTGCTTGCGATGAGGTTTGTAGTTTTAATGGAGGAGGGTGGAGAGGAGTGGCACTATGGGAGGGATAGGGAGGGAGGGAGGGAGGGACGGAGGGAGGAGGGCGAGACGTTTGATTGTTTGTGTGTATGTATTGTGTTTACGCAGTAGAGCTGAAGGGACGAGAATGGGTAGGACTCCGTTCATCAGCCAGTTGAAATGGCTTATTTCTTTAATTTTGTATGGGGGTGTATGGGGTTTCCCGTTTCGCTTCCGATCAAGTCGTGCCTATTCTTTTATTCCTGGGATTTTTATTCCTGCGTTTTTCGGGATAACACTTGTGCTAAAGTAGGTAGTTGGGAGTTGAGTATTCAGTATTCGAATAGATAGATAATTTGTAAGAGTAGATTGAAGATTGAAGATTGAAGATTGAAGATTAAATAACAGATACAAAATATAAATATAAGAACTTCATCTGTAAGGTTGTAGAAGTATTAGAAGAAACCCAACAATTTCCTGAACAGCCTCAATGGTTTATTTGGCAATGTATCTAGTCATTATTTCCATGTCATATTTTCACATCGTATATTTTCACGTCATATATTTCCATGTCATATTTTGTTGCATAGAATGGCTGATGGATGTCCGTCCGTACTCCGTACTGTACTTTTCAATCCTAGGAAAAATGGGCGCAGTCAATGGACTCGAGTGAGGCTCAGCAATATTTGATAAATTTGATAGAGAGGACTGCGGCAGAGATCATACTCCGTTCTTGTAATCATTATTTATTATTTATTATTTTCAATAATAATAACAATCATAATGATAAATTGAATGTATGAAAAAGCTTGATGCATAAGAATAAGAACATTGAAAGGGATCGAGGTGGGTGCATGTCAGCAGAGTTAATAAATACGACATCTGTTTCGTTGTTTGATGTTTCATTATTTAATGAACCTTACTACATGCGATTTTACCAAGAGATAAATAAACTTTAACCTTACTTACATTCAAGCGCCAGCGACTACCTCCCTGATGAGTTCAAAGTGTTGAAGAGTAGATCAGTCCCCCAGATACCATTCATCTTGGCAGTAAGGTTAACATAGAATCATGACACACAATTCAGATTAATGGCAGAGATGGATTGGCTCACTGGTGGCTCTTGTTTTATTGCATTTATCATCTGCCTGATCGTGACTTTTTACCTACCTCCCTAGCTATACATACAGTCACTCCCACACTCTCCAAGTCCCAACATAAAGTCAGGATGCCAATCAGAAGAAACATCCACAATGGAGTGCAATCATAAATTCTGCTGATCAGGCATCCGAAAGCAACTGCACGATTCAATAAAGGGACTCGTATGGTAACGTCGCTGTAAGGTTACTTGACCAGCAAATATTTCAAAGGAATGGAATAATTAGAGAATTAGATTCGAAACAATTTCTACTTGATAATAATATCATTCATATAAACCACAAAAATTTTCAATCATATAAATCATGCATTCGGTGCAGCATTATCGCGGACACAGCCCAATGAGCGAATATCTGGCTTATACTAGCTGCGTAGGAGGCTTAGTGCTGTTCATAGCTACGTTCAAACTTCATACGCTGTGTCAACAGCAAGCTTCATCTTCCTAGGCCTGAGCGTCCCGTACACCATCCTCATATATATGCTCTGTGAGCCTGGTCGAAAATACATCTCTGTTTGGATTATATTGCTTGAAGACCAGTAGATGCCTGCACCGAGACACTCCCATGAATAGGTATTTGCATGCATCTCATAACACCACCGTCGGCCCCTTCACCAGTGAGTCTGAGTACCTTACCATAAGCTCATCCCACGGAGGTGGCTCTTAACTCGTCCGTAGATGTATACAGCTGGGTATGCGTGCAGTACCTACCTTCCCTAGGTGGGTGGATCAAAAATCTTGAATCAGGAAATCGAATCGAGTCGATTCGCACAGCTGCTTATCTTCCTGGCAGGCCACCTTTTCTCGTATTAGGCCCTTCTTGTTGTGAGGATGTTGCCATGTAACAGTTCATCGCTGCATCTGCTTCTACATGCGATTCTATCCTCAACCGGGGACTCTCTCAGACGGTGAACACGATTTCATGTCCTAATATAAGCTCATCGTGGACCCTGTCTGGACAGTCAGTCCCCAGCCAGGAGATAGTACGTCCTTATGGCTTCGAATCTTTGCAGGATTCAAATGCAACCACTCCAGTGGCCTCCATATACGCGAGTCGGCACAAATGGGTAAGTCTATAATCTTTCTGTTCTCGAGGTTGATGCTTCCATTCTTGCATACAGATTCCACCATCGAGACGGCCGTTTAGTCGAATTCTACGTCGTTCCACCCGTAGTCGCACATGCCCAGCTTTATGGACTTGTATAGCTACCTTCAAAAACGAGTCGTCAGAGTCGTGATTGCTGCCCCCAGGACGGCTGTATTGCACTGTATTACTCTTCTATCCGAAGCAACCCACCTCTCTGCACTTGAGCATGGATCCCTGGGCCATAACGGCGGTCCGTGGGTTGTTTCCATCAACCATTTGCGTGGCCATATCGCTATGTTGGCGGTATGTCGGGGCCTTCCTCCAAAACAAGCGTGCGAGCGGACTACCAACATCAAGATAGACAAACGCTCAATCTCCTATGTTCAAATGGAAAGCAACTGGATTAGCACTATCGAGGTGCATCAACGTTAAAACTGTCTTTCGAAGGGTAGACGGGCTGGTAAATGCATTGGCAATATCAAGGTGGGTAAGCGTTCAGGTTTCCATTTTCAAAGGGCAGATAGACAGGCAAGTGGATTCGCATTATCAAGGTGAAATAGCAACATCAAGTGGACTGACAGCATCGAGATGGATAAACGCTCAAGCTTCTGTCTTCAAACCTTTGCCTACACAATCAACTTCGATGGAATCGATTGAATTCAAATACACTGCAAAACAATGGATTGTACTTCCCTCGATATGACCATTACAATCTTTTCGTACAATTAACCGACTTTCCACGATATAAAAACCACTATTCTACTTATCAAGGAAAATCCTCATATGGGTTCTTCTGTATAGGGGTCAACCAGCCTCCGTTTTTTTTGTCAGCCATTCTAGTCGAAGATTCAAACACCATCACGGAAGCAACTGGTTACACTATTCGAACACGTGTTCTTGTTCAATCTACTACATATATGCTGCCTATCGGTATAGAAAATTCTTCTTCATGTGTAGAATACTCAGTCAACTTCCCCCTTTCTTGTCAACTATTCTTATACAAAACTCAGATACAGATAGAAATACAAAAGTAACTAGCACAGAACATTCTTCTTCAAGTGCTTTTGATCCATTTTCATTCTCTCTCCTAGACCTAGAATATTCGACACAAAACTTTTCAATATCAACAGCAAGGATATGTTGAAGGCAAAACACCTGTCTTCCCCCCTTTTCCGTCAAAGAGACAAAATTACTATGAGTCGATTAACGCTGTCACCTAATAGTGAGTGGAATCAAATACAAATACATCTGTTTTTCATGGTTTATTTCTCTCTCTTTTATTGAGGCGCCCAGAGTCACGGACAGGCTCATGTATGACTGCAGGGAGTCAGATGTTGAAGGATCAGAGCTTCCTGATCCAGCAGGAGCAGGACATGGCAAAATTGAGCTCATATTAATGCAGGGTCGATCCTTCAGTGCTATTGTCAGTCAAGTGGATGCGCTGTAAGGGTTAACCTTCATTACTGTTCTTCTGTCTTGAATTTAGGTGACCGGCGCCACTAAAGTTCACATTGATAATGACTTTGAGGTTCTTCGCGAACTCATAATCTTCTTGAATCTAGAAAATAACTCGCACGTTTTCATCAATCCCACTTTCGTAATTGAGGCAAACACCAAAACCGCTTCAATACATCCAGATTTCCACATTGCCAGCGGTTTTACAATCACCCTGGATACACCCATATACAATCACACTCCGGACTCTAAGAGAGCAGCAAGATGAATAAACAATAACATTGTTTGTACTTTCATCGAGACTATATAGGACTCCTTGAATGAATTATCCCAAGGCACCCAAATAGTATGATAACATTCAGCCTTTTGTGATGTTGTGGACACCTGCTAGTAATATTCAAACTGTAATCGTACGAAGATGATCCTCTTCAGCTTCTTCCATATTCTTTCTGTTGACACTGGCACTTGTCGGTCTCCTAGATCCCCTCAACTTTTCCTGTTCTGAATATACTTCTCAATGTCAAGCACCCATGATCATCCAAGTACATTTTGTTTTTCGACATTGTTGGCATTAAAACAAGTCTGTGTAGATGCCTACGAGAGGTTCATGTCCGAATTACTGGTTTCTCTTTTCTACACCCTTTGACATAGACACTTTGGTCGCGACAAAGGAAATAAGTAGTCTGTAATGCAAAGATGAGATTAGTAATAAACACAGGGAAACGCGCAGGTAGAGGTATGTTAAAACCATGTGAAAATCGAGAGATCATATTCTACACCTGAAAGAAAGTGAATATCCACCCTATTAACCCCTAAATATTGTATAGATCTTTTGAAATCCAATTGAGTATTGAAATGTTCTATTTCAAAAGGAGAATAATTAAGCATAGATCGATGGCTTCTCTAGAATAGCATAGGCTTGCAGAAAGAAAAAAGGGGGGAAGATGTTCGATAACTCCTTCGGTAAAAGGTATCAAAACTTTGTTGGCAAAGGAAGAGGCTGAAGGTTCAAAGGGTTCGTGATAAAACATAGTCGTCTTACATCAATTGTTTAATAGCTACCTACGTGCCACCTACCTAACCTCCAATTGTACTGCGACACAAAGCCGACGATATATGAACATGTGAACATGTAAAGTGGGACATGACATTGTCATATTCAACTGAATGAATTATGCCCCTCTCACCCCTCTTCCCTCAATTCTATCTCTATCGGTGGCCCAAGCTCCTTCCCACCATACTCACTCCCAGCTCACTATCACTATCACTCACAATCGCAATCGCAATCGCGTCAATCTCAAACTAGCCGACTACCTAATTCAACCCTTTTCATCTTGTCGCAAGCCCAAAACATGGACGTCGATAACGATGAGGAAATATTGCGGGCTCTTGCACATGGTCAACCTATTGATTAGTACGTTTTGCGCATTCTTATGATCGCCGGGAATGTGGAGTATGATGGCTTCATGCTGACTGACTGAACTGACACTTTGGTTGTAGCTCAACATGGCCGAGTTTACTTGAGAGGTTGATGATTAGATTGGAAAAGGTAACGATTGCACCTCATTTACTTTCTAGGATCCTATGTGATGCTTAGATAGCTAACTCAGTACCAGATTGCCATCACAGATTTCCAAATTCCAAAACTTCCAACATACGCCCGGCCTTCTTCTCCTTCAATCTCCCCAAAGCAAGATACCAGTAATGAAGGCCCCTCTTCCGACTTTCCGCCTTCGTTAGAATCTCTTCCCTCAATCTGCTACAAGCAACTTCTTGACATACAAAATACCTTAAACAAGACATTTCCAACTCATCCGCCTCATACAATCCAACGTCTCTCCGAGCTCCTCCTAAATCCTACTCAGCACCACCGTTCTCTCCCCTCTTATCTTCACGCCCTCGATCGCGTCATCCACGTCACATCACCCATAACCGCATTTCCCCTCCCACCAGCTATCCCAGACCCAAGAGTTTCTTCCTCGGTTCTCAGCAACGGAACCCCCCCATCAGTCGACCCTCTCAGCATTAGCTGGAGCAATCCTACATCTGGAACGGCCTCTGTAAACGGAGGACTGGGTAGCGATGAAGCATTGGGGGGCGCATTGTTGACACCTATAAGTTGGTTAAATAAGCGCGAATCAAGCCTCACACACAATGGCTCAAACGGTACGAGTTCTGGAGGCGCCTCGCCGCGTGGGGAGGTACGCACCGAGAGTACTGAAACAATCGACGGACCAAATGGACCCGGTGGTGTTGAGACGGTTTCTGTATCCGTTAATGGAATTTCATCAGTTGGTTCCCATGTAATAATGTCATTGCTTTCGTCATCCGTATCTAGTTTAGGAGAACAGGGGTTGAGAGCAGAAGGTGGGGTTACACAAGGAGAGTTATTGCGCCAGGAGCAGAAAGCCGGGGTGGTGCCAGCATCGCAGTTGAGGGTGATGCAGAGAGAATCTGATAGAGAAGATTGGATGGGGAGAAGAGATGAAAATGGAATGGGAGAAGAGGATGAACTGCCACATGCGAGAGGTCCAGAGGAAATTGGGATGGAGGATATGGGGCCCCAAGAACGGGGAAAGGTACCCGTGACTGGAGGTGGAATTGATGTTGAGGCTGCCGTGGGTAGAAGGCCGGATTACACAGAGGAGAAGGAGGTGGAGGAAAAGACTCAAAAAGAGGATGGTGAAGTGATCGGAAAGTCGAATGAAGATGCAGATGGAGATGCGATCATGAACGTTGATGTGAAAGAAGAAGGTGGAGAATCAACTTCATTGAAAAGAGCCGCGGAAGACGATATTGGAAGTGAAGCTGGGGAAAAGAGAGTCAAGGAGGAGATGGAAATTGAACCTAATCCTGATTCTGCGATCAAACCAGACAATGTCAAGGAAGAGGAAAATGAGAATGTAATGCAAAAAAAGGAAAATACCATGATGAAAACAGATATGGAGACTGATACTAAAACGGAGGTTGTAGAAGCAAACGAAAAGAAGGAATCTGTCAAGGGGGAAATTCAGGGACGTGTTGATGAGGCAGTAACCCAGCCTTGAGAAAATCACACAGAGAGTATAATAACGCGGAGCACGACGTGGGATTAAGCGTGGGAGAACCCAAAGAGAGAGAACACAAAGGTTCTTGAGATACGAATGAATTGTTAGATACCAAGCCGATAATGCTACAGTTAGCTATTGCTCAAAAGATGAATGTAATGGTCTGCTTATGAAATACTAAGTATTGTAAGATTAGTTGCCAAGCATATTAGTGATAGTAGCTCATATTTCTCCATAGTATTCCTTTACATCCCTTGTGTTTCTGCACATGAACATGATCCATAAGCTTGAAGCTCCTGATCAAATAGATGAGTTAAGTTGATATCACTTGGGTTGGCTACTTACATTACTCGAGTATATGTATTCCAGTCATTCTCACCTTGCATTCAAATTTACCTCGCCCCCTTGATCTCTCCCAGTCCCCTTCACCGTTTAAAAGAAGCAGGAAAGTTTTGCTGCACATCTGAATAATTTATTAACTATGATATCTATCCAACGAATATCGTGACGATTTTACGTCATCGTCCATTAGATACACCATTTCCGACCTGTTTTCTCCCTTTCTCCTTCATCTACATCTTGTATGACGCAATCTTTGGGATTGCGCGTGCGTACACTGATGTGATATAATCCATTATTTCTGATTTAAAGTGGAGTTGATGCTAATGTATGAAGATCTCTCTTCGTTCAATCGCTATTCACGTTGCTTGCACAATCTGAAGCGTAGAATTCGACCTCAACATATATGTATGTGTGTCCCACATCCCATAAACGCCCTGTCCAATCCTGTAATGCTATATCCTAGCCCAACGCAGCCCGTCCATCCATGTTTAATCCAAAACATACGCCTGCTATAAAGCTTATATACACCTTCCCATAACGCCCATGCGGATTCCCTAAAAATAAATCTGCCTCGCATCCTTTGGTTGACTCTCATTCGGGCAATACGGACATTTAAACCTCCCGCCCTTACTCAACCTATGCAGACTTTCCTTCGCAACTACATGACCACATGGCATCATCATGGGCGGATTCATTTCACTCGTCTGTTCTTTGCTCACCGGACATACAAAAATCGGATGGAACATCATACTTCTGGGCAATGCGATCTCTACCGGAAGTTCTGTTGCTGTCGTCCATTCCGTGCGTTTTTCCTTCACAATGGAAGCGAGTTTTATGAGGGTGGGAAGTGCTATGGCACCGGCTGTGGCAGCGAGATAAAGCGGGGATTCAGCGGAGAGGCCGAGAAGCGAACAGAATTCGCGTGTGAAAGAGTTGCAGACGTCTGACCATGAGGTGGAGGTATTGAAGGTTTGTTGATAGGGTGAGTTTTGTAGATTAGATTCGAAGACCATGGCAGTAATGAGCTGTTGGATTTCGCGGAGAAAACGGCTTTGGAATTGAGGAAAGTAAATGCGCGCGTAGCGAAGTGCACCTGGTAGACCGTTGTTTTCGTCATCTGGAAGGCCATTTACGTTTGGCCCTAGAAATAACCAAACGAATTGGAGTTTGTTAAGTTCGAATTCGAGATTACTACCTCGACCTTCTAGCTCTTTGCTGTTTTTTTGTGCCCACTCTATTGCTGGACGAAGGTTTCGTTGTTTGAGTTGGTGTAAAATATTATACATGGTCTCGAATTGCCCTTGTAGTCCTTGTGACTCTTCGGCAGCGAAATCGCCCAAAACATCTCCATCTGATGCGAAGATCTCGTCCCTCTGTGATGTGAACAAATCCCCATTTGTTTCCGGACTCGAGCCACTCTCCTGGAAATTTTGTGTTTCTTCGAAGAATGTTGAAGCTACGCCGAATTGTCCTTCGCGTAAGAGATGCATGGTGATAGCTCGATTTACGAGTTTTGGATAGCTTGCAAGGGCATCGATCTCAGTCGGCAATGTTTGTTTTGGGAGGTTCTGAAGAGAAAATGGTCAGCTCACAATCATATGTATCACTATAAGTATACATCACTTACCGCATTCAAGGCCCTGCCGAAGGTAGTATGGGCTTTGTGGATCTTTTTGATATCATCATTAACTTTTTCAAATCCATTTTTCAGCGGGTTTTGAAGTCTGGCTAAAGTTATGGAAACCGAATGAGGCTCTAGAGGAAAAGAACAGTTCAGTGACTATCCACTGCCGGTAGATAAAAGCCGAGGTGGTAATAGGGACATTCAAAGCTTCCATGGGCTTCACGTCCCTATCTCCCGTCGAAGGCATGCTTCTTTGGAGTAGAGAATCTATTTACCTGATTCAATAGAGTATCTTGCTCTCTCAAGTTGCTCTATAATTTTTTCCACATCCTCGATACTTTGATCAAAGCTGGAGTCCCTTTGTAGCTTGATAAGCTCCTTCTCAAGCACATCCATAGCTGTTCACCCCGCCCTAGTTTTTCTGGATGTAGGTATCAATGTGTGTTCGCAATCGCTGTCTTTATATACCGGATGTGGCGATGAATTTGATGTCGGTACCTATAGGAATTGTATGTTGTGATGGCAGAAAGATTATATGCGGATTCAATAATGCTGCTCTGTTGTTAAATCTCTTAAAGTTAGAAATATGATAGATTGTCGTCAGTTTGTTGTACGATGTGATATGTTGACTTCACGGCACTTCATCGGGATTGATACGGTCTCGATAAGGTTCCGGCAACAGGTGAATCCCGGAAAATGATGAATTGTTAGGTGAGTTTACTGCGTACAGGGGAGCTTGGGCCCCAATTATAGAAGAGGTTCAAGGATAATAAAGCCAAAAAGGAAAAGCCCCTAATGTATTTTTACCACCTTTTTCTTCTCACCTAAAGTTACTCTGCACAAATCCAATCAGGTCATATGCGCATGCCTAAAGCACCCTCTCTGAATGAATAAACAACACAGTAGAAAACAACTGCTGTATTCCTTTTTATGGAATTCAAAATTATGTGATTCAAAGAGGAAGAGAGAGAGAGAGTGTGTGTGTGTGAGAGATGAACATCGGCTCTCCATCAATTTGAAACATTTATTAATGTAAAATTCCCTCCTCCTTACTCCTTTTCCATTGCGAATTTATAAATACCATATCCATCCGTATGTGAATTCATGGAGACATTCCCTTTTATTATCGACTTTTATTATCGACGTCACATCAAGGACCCCGGTTACCCGCAGACAGCACAGCACAGGGCGCAAGAGCCTAGCCTAGTGGACAAGGAAGGAAAGGGACCAAGGACAAAGACATAAAAGGAATAATATGTCTTTTCGTTTTTCAATTCCTCATGCATATGATCCAAATATGAATAGAGAGGATCTTTTGACCCTTTCGAGAACGACTTCTCATTCCTATAAAAGTGGTCTAACCTCTCAAGCAAAACCGAATCATGGCAATAAATCAGAGCATGCGAAGCAACCTTATGTATTCGCAGATCCAGTTGCGTTCAGGCATGAGAACTCTTACTATTGAGTTCCGAATTCCTTACTAATTTTTGGACTTTTGACAGATATCTGGAGGAGGACAACGCCACAGAAGTCATAGAACGTCACGGAGAACTTAAAGGTTACGAAGTCTATCTGGTCGAGCAATGGGCGTGTTCGAGAGTACATCCCACTTTCGTCATTACGACCTATACAGGGGATGCCAGCCACAAGATTCAAGTAGGGGTATTGGGGATTCCTGCAGATAAGGAGACATGGAATCCGAGACTTCGAGTCTACTTCAACGCCATTTCTCAATATCACGCCAGATCTAAGGATACGCCATTGGGCACATTGATGGTTACAAATTTGAGCAGCTTTCCTTCTGGCCTCAATGTTATCCCGGTACCGAATGGAGACGTGAGGAAACACAGGGAAGATTTCATTGTCAACGAGAATTTGAAGAGGTTAGGATGTTCTGGTCGATCCGGCATGAGCCTTCAGACCCCGGCCGCTGCAACACAAGCCAAATTCTTTCAATTATACAAAACGAGCGATCGGATACCCCTATATGGTGCTGTCATCGAACTAGTAAAGCTTTGCCAAGTAGCCCTGATGATTTTTGGGAAGTTAGAACAGGAATACGCTGATGGTTGTCTTTGCGATGTTACCGAGAGAGCAATAAATGATTGGTGGACTGAAATTGGATCTGAATACTACAACATTGAACCATCCGACGGGATTCTAGGCCCTACGACTGTGGCCGCACTTCTAGGATTGCTCATGGGTGCTAGAAATCGACTCAATTATTATGGGGCCCCGGTGGCTAAGGACGCTTTTGATGTTGTTAGTCTCAAGCGCGGTATAGCTTATTTTCAAAAGTCCCAGAAGATGGAGCGCACTAGGAGGCTAGATAGATACACTCTACAGCGGTTACATCAAGTCACTGCGAAAGGTGCTGCCGGAGATGGTTGGGCAGTTCCAAAAGCGGTGAAATCGACCCTAGCAGAAGTTAGTGGGAAAAGTGGTGAAATGGTTATGGGAATGGTTGGTCGTGATAAATCTGGGATTGCTGACATTGAGACTTGGGACTTGGAGCGCTTCATAACTCTGGTACATGGCGCCAGATCGAAATGGTTATGGTATGGGAAATCTAGACGGACTGGTGCCGATGATCATGGTAAATCAGAATCCGCGGCTGCTCACATGTCGTTCACCAAGGATGACCATGGTGGATACATGTGGTCTCACAATAGAGCTGATTTAGTGCCTCCAGAAGATGATACAGATATTCGCAAAAAAGAAGTCTCGGATGACATATACACCGCTCAGCCTCCAGGATCGACAACGAGTATGTTGGAAACTTCGAATGACCGAGAATTTCAACTCCACAAAGCTGTGTTTAAAAAGGCTACCGGAAAGATGAGCGAGGCCAAGCAAGGGTTTGGACGAATCAAGGATGCTGTTGGCCTGCGCGGCCATGCCAGTAAACATTCGAAAGACGAAAGCCGTGACTTGGATGAGAACGGTGGTTACTTTAGCCCGGGACATCTGACTACAACACTCTATGGGCCAAGCACACCATCTAGCCCGACAATTAACAAAGCATTTACTTGGAAAATTAAACCGGGAGAATATGAAAGTGTTATACCAAAAGCTAAAGACGTCGCGACCGGATTAGCGCAAGCTGAGCTGCGTGAAAGGGGTAGCGAATCACCTACTGATAATTCCAAGACAAGCTTGCCAAGTCTCGCTCCAAATCCAAGCGCTTTACAATGGGAAGAAAGGAAGGCCACGGAAGCCGAAGAACAGTGGCAGGCACAGGCGCAAGAAATCCGGCGCGAACTTGTGGCAAGGGAGCCTTCGATTTCAGGCTCCCTTTTCGGCGAAGGTGACCTTGAAGGTCCACTTTTAGAGGCAGAACGTAGTGACAATCATAATTTTGTGGCAATACTTCATCGTCGCCATAGTGTTTCCGATGTGTCTCTCATGAGGAGACATCGTGGCGAAGATCGGATACAGCGCCACGCGTCTTTCAGCGACGCCGAAGACGCTATTTTAACCTGGGATCCTGTTGGTATTATTGACAAGTTTGATGAATCAAATGAGTGGCTTGCATTACAAGATCATAAACTACTCAACGAGGATTACAAACGAATATACGAGAAGATATTGGATCTCCGAAACAATCTATGCCCATGGGTACAACAGAGAATCGACGGAATCAACCTTTTAGAGGACCAAGCTGCTTTGGACCAAGAAAGATTTCAAGAACTACACATGCAGCTGAGCGAAGAATACCAGGACCTAAGGAAGAGCACGCAAGACTTCCTTGGCGAAGAACGATCTCATGTTACAGAAACTCTCAAAGATATTGAAGTTCTCGGAGCTAAACTTGAGTACGAGCTTGATTCTCTCGTGTCAAAAGTACAGGACGTAGAGGATGGTGTATCTCAATTCGAAAGACAGGTAGATGATTTGGAAACACGGGCAGATGAACTAGAAAATATTTTTAGAAAAGAAAGTTGGGCTCATTGGATTGTTCGCTCCATCACGGGAATTGGTACTGGCCCAAATATAGTGGCACCGAGGAGTCCATGATTTTATATTAGTTAGTCAACAACTGCATTCAGCCGGCGTTTTGGGAATACCCATCAAGCATTTGTATTTTTCTTTAGCATATGGATTGGAGTTTTGGGATTTGAGGGGTAGTGGATATGAACATCGTTTGTGCTGTCCTTATACCACATTCTAATGTACAATATCAATGAGTTTTATCATCACCCCCTTCTGTTTTCTTCATATCCTCAACGTCTGCCGGTGGATTCCTTTTATGCCTTTCCATCATCATGTCATCTCTGCATCATGAGCGCTGCCAAACGGGCTAACAATAAAACCGCCCCGAAGGAGCTTTCTTCCATCAAGATCATTTTACATTCCAAAACCACCACCTCCAAAACCACCGCCACCAGCTCCTTTAGCTGCTGCCTCTGCTTGTAATAACTCGGAGATCTTCATCTGCACGTCGAAAAACTTTGCCGCACATCGATCAATGCAGACACCCTCGCCTTTGTTGAGTTCGCCCTCGCGGTATTCTTTAGGAATGCACTTCTTAATGCATGACTGACTGAGTCTGTGGAAACATGTCAGTATAGACTAGATACCATGAAGCTATTCATAGCTTCATGAATAATAACGCTCCGGTAGCCCTCCGGAAGCCACTGCCGCAAGGGCAGACTACCTGGAAGAGAAATATATCTTCAATATTTTGAGCGCAGCGAGCTATGGGGTTTTCAGAGCTTGCATCATTGGCAGTTTAATCTACTCTTTCGAATACAGATAGGAAAACATACTTGTTGAACATATCAGTAATAAGATCCATCTCTTGCTCAGCAGCAGCGATTTTCTCTTGCGAGGATGGCTGAGGACGACCCATTCCGAACATTGACATGATTGCTGTATTTTGTGTCTATGGAAATGGAATATATGTGAGGGTATTCAATTTGTAGAATATCAAAACGGGCGGGGCTTACTTTTTGCTTGATACCCTCGATCCAAGGTTTGTATGAGCCTTGAATGGAAAGCTTTCACTAGCGTCGGGAAAACATTATTCCGGAAGCAAATAATTTTTTGAACATAAAACTCGAAGCTGAACTTCCAGCCATCGATTGACTTCTTCGTCAACATCAAGACTCTCATACTAACAATTGGTCTTGGAGAGTGCAATAATTATTTGGTATGTATATGACATCTTTTTTCCTCCGTTGCTTTATTATCCTTCCATGAGTTTATATGATGATTTCCATATAACATTAGAACCGTTGCGACTGACACCCTTCTTCGGGAGAGTGGTTGATCTCACATCGATCCGTTGTCTGAAAAAACTCATTATCTACATCTTCCATTGATTTAATAACGTTTCTCATTGAGTGAAGCTAATTAAGTTGTATTAAGATTATAGGATGAGTTCTTTGACCGGTCTACGGTTCCTAAGACCCTATCTCTACCATGACATTCTACCAGTGAAACCAGCTGCATATGCACGACTTTTCTCTACACATTATCGTTTACGCGGCAAGGGGCCGAAAGCTGCTGCCTGCGAGACTGAGGAGGAGTTTAAGGTACGGAGAGTGAAGTTGAAGGAAGGCTTAGATCACTCGGAAAGTAGGATTAAAAAACTTCAGTTATCTGGCGCCCTACATTATCCAAGAATTAAAAAGGTTGGTAGAATTGCTACGGTGAAAAGTTGTCTTGAGTATTGTGCGACACTGCCATGTGGATATAGTCATGAAACCGATGCTCTTACGCTGCATGGTAAGAACTTTTCTGGGCAGAATGCGAATAGAGGTTGATTTTTTGTAGGTAGGCTTGAAAGTGTGCGAAAGTTTGGTTCAAAGCTTGTCTTCATGAATTTAATAGAGGATGGTTATACAATTCAATTAGAGGCCGAACATGGGAAGATATCCAAAAATCAAGATATTAATGTGCAAACTCCAATTTCCTTCGAAGATTTAAGCAAAATTATGCAACGTGGAGATATTGTTTGTGAGTGAAAATTCTATGTCGCATCCCTTTTCCTTTTGGCGAACCTAACATGTAATAGCTGCAACTGGTTACCCAATTCGCAAAGACAATGGTTCAGCTACTCTCCAATTGACATGCTTACCACATATATTGACTCCAAGTCTGGCACCGGTGCCCAGAAAATTAGAGGATCCAGAAACCCGTATTCGAAATCGACATCTTGACCTTCTTGTCAACAACGATGTCGCCGCTACTCTGCGGCTTCGTTCAAAAATCACACAGCATATCCGTGATTTCCTCGTCCAAGACAATTTCCTCGAATTTCAGACCCCGATCCTTGCCGATAAGGCTTCAGGTGCCATGGCCCAACCGTTCAAAACAAACGCAACAGAGTTCCCCGAAAAGGAGTTAGCTCTCAGAATAGCTCCTGAATTATGGTTAAAACGTCTGGTCATCGGTGGTTTAGATCGAGTCTTCGAAATTGGCCCTGCGTTCAGAAATGAAGGTCTTGATGCTACACATAATCCGGAATTCACAACCTGTGAATTTTATAAAGCGTATGCCGACATTGAGGATCTTATTTCCATGACCGAGAACTTGATTTCGGGTCTTGTATATCTCGTCAATGGATTGCGTGTCGATCCTCAACATGTAAAATACATGCCTTTTACGGAACTTCCACGCTTCGAAGAGGATTTATACACAAAGCCCTTTAAAAGAATTGAATTTATACCCGCAATCGAATCTGCAATCGAAGAAAAGCTACCTGATCTCCAAAAAGATGACGCTGGAGAAGACTTGCTCCAACTTTTCAGAAAATATGACCTCGAAGTTCCCGAAAACCCAACTCTCCCCCGCCTCCTAGATAAGCTCGCATCCATCTACATCGAGCCCCTCTGTTCCGATCCCACGTTTATTATGCACCAGCCCTCCTGCATGGCGCCCCTCTCAAAATCGTTCCTCGATCCTACTACCAAGCAACTCGTATCCGCACGGGTGGAACTCTTCATACAGCACCAAGAAATAGCAAATATGTATGAAGAAGAGAATTCGCCATTTGAACAGCGGTACAAATTTGGTGAACAGTTGAAATTTAAGGATATAGAGAACCCCATGGATAAAGTGGATGAGGGATATATTCAAGCGTTGGAGGTGGGATTACCCCCTACTGGCGGATGGGGATGTGGAGTTGACAGGTTGGTCATGTGGTTGAGTGGTGCGAAGAGGATTAGTGATGTGTTGCCATTCGGAAGTTTGAGGAATGTGGTTAATTTAGGAGCGGCGGTTAAGAGGGAAATGGGCGAAGGGGAGAAAGAATGAAGCTTCTTTCGTCGAAGGAATGGTGGAGCGGAGGCTTTGAGTGTAGAATTGATGGAATAGACAATATGGACGGATAAGAAAAGGGGACAAGCCAACCCAGCAGGGAGGTCAACATCATACAGGTGCTCTAAGGAGTGGCAATGTAAATATTCCAAAGATCCAACTACAGTTGCTACTCTTTCGCCCCGCTTCCTCCTTACCTCCGCTTTTCTATTCTTCCTTCCATTTTTCTACCACATGTTTCCTTCCTAACAAACTCTAAAGAATCGCAATAGCATTCGGCGGACTCGCCACTTCACCAGGAATGTTCGACGGCACACTAATAATAAGGAAGAATATCGATCTTGCTCTGCGCATACATTGGCCAATGCTTCTGGATTCCAGAGTTTGCCATTGGACAGCCGCTGAGGAAAGAGGGACAGGAGCGTTAGTACGTGCTGTGCTTGTGTGCTCGACGGAGGAGGGAAAGAGTAGTTTTGAGGAGAGAAGGAAAAGAAAATTTTAAATTCACAATAAAGCCAATAGCCAATCATGCAGCACCCACTCCTAGTGTTTTTCCGCCGGCGGTGACTACTCGAAAACCATTGTATCACTCGCTACTGCTGAAAATTGGTCATTCCATATCCATTAGACAGTTCCTTTACATCCTCTCACTCCTACAATTCGTGGGCGTTTTTCACGCTTTGTATGCGTTCTTCAGCACCAGCTTCTTTATAATATTACAACTTCACAAATCCCCTCCTCACAATCAAAACTCCTGCCTGTCCAAGACTAACACCCTGATCCCTAGCTATCTCCTCAATCGTCTCAATAGTAATTTCAAGCCTTGATACTGGGTGAATATAAAATATTATGAAGCCGAGCATAGGCCACGTAATCGATTAGGATCCCAAGTCCCATGATACCACCGCGCATGCTCCAAGCTTCTATTCCATTTCGGGGCGCGTAAGGTTGTTGGAGCAGAGCGAAGTGGATTGGTGAGCCGAGTAACCTGGAATCAAGAAGGGAATTAGCTCGGATTAAATAGCTTGTGGAGGGGAAAGGAAGTGTCACGCAATGCATATGATGGCGAAGGATGGCAAGGTGGATCAACGAAATCCGTCCCAATGAGAACCACTTTGCGTGTTGATAGAAATCACATTGTCGTATGCTTTGAAACTCAAGGTAGTTAGATCCCTGATTATATATCTGGAACCTTGCGACCGAAGGCCGGTTCGTGGATCAGGTCTCCAAATCAACTTTTAGGGGCGTCTAGATGTTAATACACTGCTTCCCTATTTCCGTTTGCCGTCTTCTTGAAAATTATGTGGAAAGGCTGGGGAACTGAAAACTTGGTATGACAAAGGATCGTGTAATACCAATGGGATAAAAACAAAATTCGGGGCGACACTTCTCCCCAACTCAATCCACTTAGTCGCTCCAAGTGTACTTTCCGGTGTTCGAAAATTGAGAGTACCATAGTTGTATCTCTCGCCTGTCTTGTCGAAGATGCACCAGGCCGTTCCTTGAGACATACCTTTGACTAGAGGTATCTTGGAAATCTGCAAGCTCGTGCACGCATTTTTAGAGGTGTTTAGGTTGCTTAGTTCGGAGTGGGAAAATGAGTTTTGAGCAGGACATCGTTTAATGTAAACTTGAGTAGAATATACTGTGTGATATCGGAATGCGAGTCGCCAAGAAGGTCGCAAATAACTACTATTGATGTGGATATTGATAACTGTTGCATAATACTTGATATATAGTTTTAAATGCAAGGCAAAGTCAAGCACAAACTAAGATCGCAAGCGGAAGGAGAAAAGAGCAAACATGGCCTATTCTCGGGATAAAAACAAGAACGATGGGGATCGAAACGTGTTGAATGATTTTTCATCCCCATTTGAAAGGTTGCTAGGTGGTTCTACTATATCTCTAATCCGTCTTTGTTAATTTGGATCCCTTGTGTCGTCCCAAATGTTTGCTATCACATGGCGGGGTTGGAATGACATCGACTAGGCAACCCGCTGCTTGTCTAGGAAACTAGTCTAGTGAGGCGGGGGCGGTTTGGTGGGTGGTCCAAAAGAGCATGAACCATGTACTTATGGGAGCTTATGGACGTTCCGAAGAAGATATAATTGTAGCCACCGGCTTTTTGTATAATATGAACAAAAGGTACCCGGATCTTGTTGTGGAAAGAGGGTGGGTCATGGGACGATATTTCAAATCTGATGAGCAAAAACAGGAGCTTTTGATCTTATTCTCAAAGTATGTATCCGTACCTGGTATCCGAAGCAAGTTGCATCGCTATCCCGAGTCACTTTCTTCTGCACTGTAGTGTTTGCTAAAATTTAGTAGTTAGAAGTCCTGACAGTACGGTATGACGTCGAGTTTGAATCAGGATTCTCCACCTTTCCCTTCATCACTTTCAACCATAGCCCATTTCGGCCCTCTTCCCTTATTTCAAATAGTTGTGATTAGAGGAAAATTGATATTCATATACCATTCAAGAAGTTCCAGAAGGGCAAAAAGGCATGAAATCAAGACAGTAAATCACTACTCTTCTAACACAGCTAAAGCTTTTACAGGAGTCCGTTTCCTCGAAGAGGGGATGCATAAATTTGTGGGATATTGACTTATCTGATGAGTCTTAATTAGCATATTCTCAAAAGATACATATTCCACAATCGGTTTGAACGAAATTCTCTATACCAATCAAAATCAAATCTCGTGCACTTACCGCAATCATCATGGCTAGAGTATTTTGCATCAGTGGTAATTCCACCCAGATTCGGGAAGAGGCTCATCCAGGAGGTTTTCGTTGGGTAAGCTCTCTTGAGCCCTGGTCCAGAATGCAAGCTGACCAATTTCACAACAGGGCGGAATATTCCAGTCACAGCTGGTGGTGAGCCTGGGACTTTGAAGTTCAAGGGGAAAATTGACAGTGGATTTCGTTCCCGAAATGCGCTTGGAGCTCTCTAGCAGCCACAACTAGTCAGTCTGAAATTCAACCTCTTTCGCATCCGCAAATACAAATCTGGAACGCATGGATCTAGACAACAACGTAGCTTACGGCCTTGTCGTTGTTCTTCAACAAGTCAGCGAACAATAATCCATTCCATATGAAAACGTAAAGCTTTCAGTTTCCTGCTGTTTTTCAAAAGGCAATGACAGTCATGCGGGACAAGAGCCATGTTGCTACCCCATTCAGCACGCCACTGGTGTCGGAGGTCAAAGGGGTGAACCTCTTTTCAGCATCTAATGTGCCAGTAGTGGGGCTGTTCAGGCTGTGCTGAAATTATTAGTCAAGAAGTAAACCTAAACACTTATTCGGCTGGAATGTCATCTTCGCTTTCCCGCGAATCCATATCTTGACTATGCCAAAGAAGCGATGAAAAAGGAATATGGTACTGAATTTGGAGATCCAAAGAAAAGCGGGAAAGCGATATATGAGCCTGTTTTACCTACTTCAGATTTTGAGACGAGTAATTAGAAGTGATAATTATAAGGCAATCATGCGAAAAGACTAGGTGAATAAGGAGAATTGCAGGAAGTGAGAGGAGATCTCTAACCGCTACGATGTTGATCAATGGGCGATACACAACCGGGTTGTCATGCAATCGACCTACAATAATGCCCAATGATATATGCCAAAGCAGTGTTTGCAGCTAAAATAATGTGTCATTCTACGCAATTGGACTTCTTGAGCCATTATAAGTTCCTATATCTGCGCTTATGCAGCTACCCGTCTTGGCAAAAATAATGTAGCATCCATGAAAGCGCCCCCTTTCTAGACATCAAATAAATTATTTTAATAGTACCCTCCCTTATTCGTCAATTTCTCGTCTGATATCAAACGTCTTCGGAGATTAAGACGCCTTTCGCCGACAAGCAAGTGCAACAAACAAAGTAAAGAGCTTCAGTAACCTCAACACTTCAAGACCAACCTCTCTCTTTAGAGGTCAAGTATAGCAATATATTGACAATCTGACCATTGTATCTCTCTCTCATCTTTGATTTCTTGTTCGCTTAAAGATATCAAAGTTCTAATTGTATACTTTACTGTCTTTCTTTCATCATGAAGTCAAATCCAGGGCTGCATAAATTGGATGCGAATTATTCTGGGTCAAATGGAGGTTCTTCTTGCTTGAATATCTACGAGCTCTATCAAATCGAACAGTATGAAGGACAGGAATTATTCGAGTTCGAGCAATATGTCAAGATCATTCAGTTTGCTGGAGCTGTGCGCTCTGGAACTCATCCTAGAGTTAAAACTCTTCCTCAACCTGACACCCCAGCATATGATACGCTCACGGTTAGTCACAATAAATTCATTGGATACGCTTGCTAATATAATTTTGTAATTCAGGCACTCAAAACTCCTAGACATGAAGATACCGACTCGGTGAAGATCGGGCTTGTGGAGGCCGATACTGCGAATGATTTGAATCCCACGCAAGGAAAATGTAAAAAGAAGAGCCGAAAAAAGAAAAAAGATCTTGGCTAGATCGGGAAGAAACCCGAGGATCTGCATGAAGCACGATATATTCAAAACCCACAGTGCACTATCTCAGAGAGAATGAACTGCCATGGCAAGAATGCAACCCATAGCAGATCTGTTGATCTACAGTCAGCCCCTACAGGCGATTCCTTCCGAGAAATTTCTACATCGATAGAAATCACTTCACGGGGATTGAGTCAAACGTTGGTGGTAGCACAAAACGCGCGGCTGGTACTTCAGTTGAGATTGTTGGAGTGGAAAGAATTGCAGAATTTAGCTGGATGTTGGCTATCACACCTATTGAGAAAGTCGAGGATATCTCTCAAAGAAATCAACTGGTTACAGGTAACTCCATTCCTGAATTAGTGTCGCAAGCATTTTTCATTAGTAACCTCCCATTTCAAAACAAAACCATTAACCAGAATTTCCAATCCTCAACTACCTCTTCCATCTCCACTACACTGCAGCACAAGTTATTTCAGGCTCGAAAAATTCAAGCACACCGTGCAGTCGTTGAAGAGGAAAAGATTGAAGTACAACAGTCGGTTCATCGCAAGAGCTAAGTGCTACAAACCCGGATCACGTTGAAGGGCAGCGCCAAGCTACCCAAGATCAAGCAACTCAAAAGCTACGCGAGCAGAAAATTGACATCGAGAAGCAAATTGATGCACATCGCGCTGCTGTGCAATGTGTAGCTATGCAACGTGCAGCAGTTCAAAGATCTTTGGGCCCGGATAAAGCTCCTCCAACCAGTCCTCGGATTCCATTGAGTATGGCTCCCCGCGTGATGACAAGACCATTCTTAAATACCTCGGCCGCTACCTCACTACTAAATTCACGTTTGCAGACTGGATTGAACGTGTGTTCTCCTCTAGTGCTCGGTGAACTTGTTAAAGCTCGGGGATCTGCTTTGCAGCTGCTAGGAAGCAGCAAGCAGAGCCTAGCAAAGAAGAAGCAGAGGGTTGGAGACAAGGAAGACAAAGATTATTGCGGAAAAAAAGAGAGGGGAAGCACAAGTGAGGTTTGGAGTAGTAGAAGTAATAGTGCGAAAGGAAATGGTGGTGAAGACGAGGGTGAAAGAGTAATTGAGTGTGAAGGAAAAGTGAAAGAAGACGGGACAGAGATTGGTGGTTTCAGGGAGAATTTCGAGTTATTAAAGATTGATAGAGGCATAGACTTGGGTAGAGGTGAGGCGGAGATAAATTTCAAGGGGAAAAATGGTGGGAAGAAGCGCAAGAGGAATTCTCTATGTCTTACCAAAGCCAAGAGCGCAACATAGTGACACAAGACTCGACAAATAGATGCGTGATGCAATTTTGGAGAGTTAAATGTCCAATGAATGATAGTGTATACTTGTATATGTGAATAGGGAAATGGAGGTTTGAGAGAATATGATCGATCACGGTGTTGTCCTATAGCTAGGAAGCCCAAGTATTGCGTTTGGATGAGAGTGTGTTAGGGGTTAATTAAAGTTTGATATTGTTGCTCATTGCATTCCATGCATAGTCTCCATCTTTGCTAACAATTTTGAATCCTTCCGGTGTTCTTTTGCAACTATTTTCACCATCTCCTGGGTAACCTTCATTTTTGTCCCTTGTTTCTCAATCAAAAGAGTTAGAGCTTTCCTGCTAAAATTGTCTTTCGTTGCAATCATCCTAAATATCTCCTCTGTGACCTCCATATCTGCTCTCCGCTCCCCAAGCAATGTAATTAATACATTATCCAAACACTTTTCAATAACTCAAATGTCTTTCCACTCCCGTGTAATTCTTCCCCTTCTATATCTTTCCTCTCTATTTCTTTTCTTTCTCCCTCTTTTCTCCCTATCTCTTTCCTCCCTACTTCTTTTTACCAAAGCCTTTATCACTTGATTTGTGATAGTAATATTGTTCTTTTGTTCCTTGAGTAATACCTTGACGATTCCATCAACTTGATCCAAATTTTCTATTGCTGCTATTATGATTGCCTCTGTGATGACTATGTTCCCTCCTTGTTTTCCTCGCAAGCTGGCTCAGATGCTTGCAACAGCAAACCTAGCTGGCTCGTACATCCATACACTGCGGTGAATCCTATTATGTCCTTTGTGATTGAAGTATTTTCTCTTTTTAGGCTTAGCAAAAGCCTCAACAATCGTTGACCGACGTAACTCGGATGCGCCGTTCCTTGGTGGATGCACAATATAGCCCTTATTAAATCCACTTCTCGAATTTGGGCATTATCTCTGATCGCATCAGTTATTTCTCTTGCGTAAGCATAATCTTCCTCCTTGACCGGCGGTGGTGACTTCAACGGAATTGAATCAATGCCATACTTCCATTTTGCCTTAATATAAATCATCGCTAGTTGCGTTTTGTTATTCAATGTATCTTGATGAAAATTGCCTTCGAAATCTTGTCCGGTCTTTATCACCTCCAATAGGAGATTCTCCAGTCTGTCGAGATTATAGTTTAGTTCACCGTAAATAGACGCAAGTCTCTCTTTAAACGACAATATATGTAGATTCTCTCTTCCCAATACCTCTTCATATCTCTTGATGGTATCCTCGAGCTGAATCATTGCCCTCTGGTTATTGGTGGCCTCTGCAAGATTGGTATCACACCATATGATCTGGTTGCCTTATCTGCGTTGGTCTTCAGATACCGTGGCACTACATAGTTGATCTCTGGTAAACGATCGCTTCGCCCTTGATCGGGAACTGGCTCCCACTGCCAGGTGAGTATAAGGTCATGTGAATAGACCTTGGGAGAAGGCAAAGATCGATGAAACCTGGCATATGTACCATCAGTTTATGGGCGCACGTGGACTAGAACTGGTATAGCTGTGGTCACGATGATGGCTGAATAATCCTTGTATACTCTAATGATAGATGGCTTTGAACCTCCTTCTAGAAGATAGATGACATCATCTGGCTGGATGGACTGTGCCGAGGCTTCTAGTATCCACCAGGTGCCATAAACTTCGTCGTACTGCAAGGCTAGTGGCGTCTTGTTTAAAATAACACGGATGAACTGCCTATGCAATTGATAGCTGTCAAACATCACGAGGGATACAAAGCCTAGAATACAACCTCGGATCTTGATTACTGATATCTCTCTATCATCCTAAGTCTCTATGGATATCGTTTCATAAAGGATAAACTCGATAAGCCTTTGAAAAAGGGTCTTCCATGAAATCGTGTAGTCAGGTAGTAGGCCAGTTGAGCTCAAATTATAGGAGCACATACCCAGCAACGCATATATCTTATCGTGACGTATCGTAGCCTTGTAGGCATGATAAATATCAATCAACTCACGTAGCGAGAGATTCTTTGGTGGACTCAGAGTGTGTTTCAGACGGAAGATTGATCCTCTTATCATATAGACAGTCGCACGAATCAGACTTCTTAAATGTGGATGATGTTCGAAGAATCGCCCCAGCTTGTTGGTGCCTAAACAGAATGTATACCCTTCCACCTCCTCGGAAGCGCCAAAGATCTGGATACTTCGAGCTAAGCCAACCTCTTGGAGTACCTAACCGGAAACATATTATCATTTTTCGAGGGGTTATTAACAACGGTAAATTACCTACCCAAATACACTGAAACCATGGTCGTTTAAGCAGTCTAAGGAATGAATTTTCAACCATTTTGTAGCTTTCAAAATCTGTTTTTTTCAGGATGTTCCTCGTTATTCTCATCTTCTGCAGCAACTCGTATCCTTTCAAGAGCCAAGTCACTATCATCCTCAGCTTCTCCAAGATAAACGATAACTCAGTTTGCTTGACCATAGATCCTCGCCATCATTTGAATCTGGCGACCTTTCTCTTGCTCGTCTTCTTGCTCGATGCGTATAGCATCCACCCTAATGACTCGGTTGAAAGTGCGATTTCGAAGGCGTAACAATGCTGCGTGGAGGTTCGACGTAACAGGCAAGAAATGTCCATCTATGAAGATACATTGCGGAGGATCATCAAGACCGCCCCATGTGTACGACAAAGTTTCGTACAAATGAGTTTCTTTACAAGATTCCAGTAGAGGATACGCATGAAGCTCGCATCGGAGAGGGCCGCTTCCGTCCCTATTAGGAAGTAGAGAAAGTAAGCGGATACTGCTCAGACCCAACGGAGCTAGGGTATAGCTGAATTGAAGCATGATTTAAGTAGGTATTTGAAAACTATAGAGCTTGTTCTGTTTTTTGGTCATGACAAACAATTCTTACCAAGTTTTATCATTCATTGACGTTGGCTTCTTCCATATATACAGACATTGCAGATCAAATTATGCAATGTGTCGCTAAGCCCACCAAGCGATGTGCTGAGAGGATAGGGAGCTCTTATTATTGATGAGTGGAAAAGAAATGTTATTGCCTCTGCAGTGCCCAATGAGTGAAAAGTCATTTTGATCCTATTTGCTGAAGCGCGCTGGAAATATTTGGAGACGACAGCACACCCCGCATAAATTTAGTATCGACGCTGTGGAAGGGATGGGAAGGGAGGGCCCGTGGATCTCAAAACGGAGTATAGTACGTACTCGATTCTACGAACGAAGATAATAACTTATGGGATATCCCTTACATGGCGAAATGTTTATCCTATATGAATGCCGGTATGTCATTTTGATGCGCAAATGGATGATGGTTTGATGTGTGATGTGTGTGAGATATGCTAACAGAGATAGCCATAATATATGCTACTAATACTCGAGTATTTTAAAAGTCTTACAGTCACGTCATAAGGAGATCATCAGCCTTTTCTTCTTCTGCTTCCACAACAAGAAGAAGACGAAAAGGTCTTGGGGTAAATAAAATGGATCCAATTGCAGTACTGAGTACGATAATCCACAAACCCAAACCCAAACCCACAAACCCACAAGCCAACTCAAATGCTCAACCTCTCCCCACCGAGTCCCTGTCGATTACATGGCGTAAGGTTTTCCGATGAAAAAAAAAATAATCCGAAAAATCCAACGATTTGTCAAGCGTTTTTGGTACAAAGTGAAGATCTTTGTACGAATTGAGAGCCCTCGCACTTTAAAAAGATATGATAATCATAGACAATCCCTACTACTCCGCACGATCAGCACTTTCTGAAGCATCGGCGTGGGACCCTTTTGAGACCCTCTCGGCGACTAATAAAAGAGCGCCCATCATTTATGCGGGATCGACTTCAAATACAAACCACTCCGTACTAAGTACGTAGGCACGTAGGTCAAATTTATTGCCACGATTCTTAGCCCTTGGGAGCAAGAAATGGGATGCTTCATGTATCGATCGCATCCCTTTGGGCACTTCTACCAAGACCACCGTGAACCAAGTAGGATAGAGAAATGGGATGCTTTATGTGTCGCCCTTCTTTTGATCAATTTGTGCCGTGTCGGTGTCGTAAAGGACAAGACCAAGGAGCAGCGTAAATGCGATGTATCCTACTGGCGACATCACAAGGAGGTCCGAGAATCCAGACCACCCCTCATTTCAGATATCATATGCATTTCTCAAAAGATCATATGGGACATCCGGACGGCATGGCTCTAGACCATCTATATGGCCTGAAGTTTCTTTCTTTATATTTTTTTATACATTTTTTTATATTTTTATTTTTATTTTAAAAAAAGAGATTTGTTTTCATTTTTTATTTTATATCTTTGACTTCTCTGGGTTACACTAAGGTTACTCACTCACTATATCGCCATCATCCTTAATTATCATCCTTGATTAAATATCTCTTCAATTATTAATAAGAATATCATAATTTAGTTCAATTATTGACGAAAAAGCTGTACTTTAGATCGATTGTCGGAAAGGTTACTGGAGTCTGGATCATCTTTCTCCGCTGTTTATTTGTTCCAAATGCTTCTAGTCTCGAGGCTTGGTCGATAATAGCATCAAGTCCTTCCTCTAAGACCGTTTTGGTCGAATCAAATCCGGATTCAACCCGTCCAACCACCAAAACACTGTTGAAGAAGCCCCCCCAATCGTAAAAATTCTGCTTCCTTCCTCAAAATCATTCCTGATCATACCCATATTTGTAAATACCATCATCTCGAAATAATTCAATCCACCTTCTTGCGGAGTACGTTGACAGTTGACACTCGTCGCATATCAACGTGGCGACAACACCGACGATCCTCTTCTTCTATTAACACAGCAAGATGACGTCTTAGCGGGCCTGCACAACAGAATTTGCGAAGAGTGAATACCTGCGCTGCGAGAGATTATTGGGAAGAAACGCGATATTAGGAAGTCAACACACTGAAAACAAACGAACACTGGCCAAGGGTCCAAAATATCAACCATGGCTGTCGACAAGCACCCCACCTATATCGACCTTCCTCCTGCTCCTCACAATGCGGTCGTGTCGCCAAACGAAACAGAGAGAGGTACACCAAACTCAGAATATGATCGGCCCATATCACCCCTACATATGCCTCCCGGCGAAATTGATGGCTTGGATGCTTTGAAAGCCCAGGAATATATGAGTGGGAGACGAGGATCAGGCCAGAGTAGTAACCTACATATACACATTCCCGGTATGGTCTCGCCTGCAGATGTAGCATTTTCGGCCATGCATTATCTGCCATACCCTTGTGTGGTTCTAAATGGTTCTAAAACGGTGATACTCGCAAACGAAGCCACTGCGAGACTACTCAGTGCAGACGGTGACGAAAGTGAAGAAAATGAAGATGCACAGTGCGTGGAACAATACAAAGGACAAACACTTTCCCAATTGGGCATCGACATGGTGAAAGATTTCAAGCCTGTGTGGGTTACTTGGGACACATTTCTGGATAGTCTGGGCGAGGAAATCAATGTACATGCGAATGCGCAAGAGACTGTATCATCAGAGTATGAAGGAGATGTGACCCCGACGGCTGAAAGAACAGAACCTTCAAGTAGGATTACAAATCCTGAGAGAAAGGCTTCGGTGGTTCATGATGCCGTGGTTGAAGTCATCATCACATCTGGACTAATAACAGCATCATCGTTTGCAGGGCGAACGGCTAAGAAGATGTCCGATAGACGTAAGTTTACCTTTAATACTTTGTTTCACGCACAGGACAGTAGTTTCGGGCTTCTCATAGGTTGTATGGTTTATTGATCCCTCCAAAATTTGTTCGAAAATGGTTGGGTGCTTGTCTTCTTTTCAATGCTTTTGCGCATGGCTTAAAAGAGTTTTCATTTCAATATGATCGACCCAACGACATGCATCAATTGAGCAAACATTCATTGAATGGCTACGTTTTATGAAAACCAATCTAACGGGTCCAGATTCATACGCCAAAATGATCATTAGTATCTTCGAAATCGAGAATGAAAAATACTACATGTTGACCTTCACGAGTACAGAAACTACTCAACCTGTATTACCCAGCTCAAGGAGGATTTCAAGGAAAGTACACGACCCTAAGCTTCAAATGGGTTCCAACAATGGCTCGCACTCGTCGAGTTCCATGTCTCGCTCAAACCCATCGTCCGCCAGCTCCGAACATAGTTCTAGTCATGATTCCAGTCAAGGATCCAGCGGCTCATCTGCAATTTCTAGCCCCACGCATGCGCCCATGTCTTCCTCTCCGTTCCCACCTTTGGGTCCCCCGTCACGCGTCAATAAGTCAGGCGCCCCTTCAATTTTGCAGAAGGTGATTGTGTTGAAAGATGCACTACTAGATAATACGGAAATTCCTATTCTGGCAATGTGGAAGGACGAGAGTGTGACGATACCGAATAAAGCTGCAAGAAGATTGTTCGCAAGAGAAGCCGACATGTCGAATGTTAAAAACGGTATGAATTTTTAGCTCTCGATCTGTATCTAGCGTTACTAATAGTCTCACAGGTTTTGATCTAGTTGGTAAATGGCATTGTTACAACCATGATTTCACCGTAGCTCTAGATCCGTCAGAGTATCCTATCTCGGTTTTAGTAAGAACACAGACGCCATTTTCTAGTCGTTTGTTGGGCCTCTATGACCCCGATACTGGCGATAGGATCTTATTTGATTGTTTAGGTATAAAGAGCCCCTAAGATCAATGCGAGACATGCTAAACCCTTTCACAGGAGAAGCGGTTCGAGACCCAGATACTGGCGAATTCTTGGCTGGAATTGTGACGTGCAGGGACATCACAGCTGTGACACAACAGATCGCCGAGATAAAAGAGGCTGATGAGCAGAGGTTCCAGATGATATGTGATAGTATGCCGCAGCTCATTTGGACGACTACTCCCGATGGTATGCATGACTGGTTCAGTCAGCGCTGGTATGACTACACGGGATTGACCATGGAGGAATCCCTTGGTGAGGGTTGGAAATCGCCGTTTCATCCAGACGATTTGGCCTTGACAAAGAAGCGCTGGCAACATTGCCTAGAGACTGGTGAACCTTATACTACAGAATATCGTTGTCGGAAACACGATGGAGAATGGAGATGGATGCTGGGACGCGCTATTTGCATGAGGAATAAAGACACTGGCAAAATCGAAAAATGGTACGGAACCTGCACGGATATCCATGAAGCGGTCATGTCACGATTCGAGGCCAAACGACTTCGTCAACAATTATTGTCCGTCATAACCCACGCTCAAGTTACGCTGTTTTCCGTAGATCGACATCGAAAAATCAACCTCCTGGAAGGTGCCTTCATATGGGACCTTGAGAGCGATGTAGGATCTAGCGATGAGAGCCTCGCGGGTAGCGGTAAAGCTAAGGGGTCTGATTACATAGGGAAGAATGTTTACAATGTCTTTTCGCATTCCAGTAACCACAGGCAAAGCCATGACGTGATTCCTGCTTCACTACAACCAATCGAGGATATCTTGACTGGAAAGGTAATGGAAGACATGCAAGAACACACCATCGACAATAGGTGGTACCGCACGAAATTTGTCCCTGTCCTCGGTAAGAAAGATGGGGGCGGACATGTTAATGAAGCGTTCATCGATGGTGTCATTGGATTATCTATGGATATCACTGAGATTAAAGATCGTGAAAATGATCTCCAGATGCAAGAAAGGGAGAATACCAGACTTCTCGCAAATGAAGCAGCCGCCAAAGAAGCTAGTCGATTAAAGAGTCAGTTCCTGGCAAATATGAGTCACGAAATTCGAACACCTATTGCTGGAGTCATCGGGATGGCCGAACTCCTCACTGATATGAATCTTGACGAAGAACAGCAAGAATGTGCCGAAAACATTCAACGTTCCGCCAATGCACTTCTCACAGTCATCAATGATATCTTGGATTTCTCAAAGGTTGAATCTGGCCGGTTGGATATTGAGGAAGTTCAATTCTCCTTGTCAGTTGTGGTGCGGGATGTCAGTAAAATGCTGGGATTCGCTGCTGAACGTAAGAATCTAATGTTCGATTCCGACATCACGGTCGGAGTTGATAAAGATTTGATTGTTATGGGCGACCCAGGTCGAGTTCGCCAGATCATCACAAATCTCCTCACGAATAGTATTAAATTCACCAGCGAAGGAAGAGTCAAATTCTCGGTCATCAAAGAAAGAGAAGATGCAGATACTATTGAAGTAAAGTTCGTCGTTGAAGATACCGGTATTGGAATTGAGGAGGAAGTCCGAAAACGTCTATTCAAACCTTTCAGTCAAGCAGATTCATCAACAGCAAGGAGATTTGGTGGCACGGGATTAGGTCTCACGATAAGTAAGAATTTGGTGGACTTAATGCACGGTAGAATTACTTTGGAGTCATCGTTAGGACAGGGTACGACTGCGACTTTTTGGATTCCCTTCAACAAGCCACAGTATCATGATGGAAATGCCCTAATTGATATTGGAAGCTTACCAGATCGATTACAATCCGAAATGAGTGTTTCTTGTGGCAGCTCGGATTATGATGTTGGCGCTTCGCCCCAGAAAAACTCGTCGGATATGCCTAGACATCATAGGTCGGTTAGCATGACGCCTCCAGTTGTGTCCGAGGTAGAAATGTCGCCTGCTGATAGAGCCAATATCAAAATCCTTCTTGTTGAAGATAAGTAAGTGGATTCAATCTGGGATGCGGCGTCTTATGCTAATATCTGGCAGTGCTATCAATCAACAAATTGCTTTGAAAACCATTCGGAAATTAGGATTTACCGCCTCGGCAGTTTGGAATGGAAAGGAAGCTCTTGATTATCTCCTCGCAGCAGACTCTCCAAATCCACCTCATCCAAAACCAGATATCATTCTTATGGATGTACAAGTAATTTCCCAAGAATCCCTATCATTTTTAAAATATTCTGCTAAGTACAGCAATAGATGCCAATTATAGATGGATACCGCGCCACCCATATATTGCGTCACCACTCCCCTTACAGTTACTCGACGCGTAACATTCCCATCGTAGCCATGACAGCATCAGTCATCCAGGGCGATCGCGAGAAGTGCCAAAAAGCCGGCATGGATGATTATCTAGCGAAGCCTGTTAAGGGAAAAACGTTGGAGAAGATGTTGGTGAGATGGGCGATTAATAGAAGAGTCCCGAAACAGGAGAGTGACCGGGATGATGAGGGGAGTGATTGTGCGGAGGGAGACAATGAAAATTGTTCGAGGAGAAGTGAGAAGTCAAAGTATGTGTCCCTTTATTTTTCCTAGAAACCACTTCCTCTTTGAAGTGTTCCTTCCATCCGGGGACGGAATCACGGATATATTGTTGACGCCTACACTATAGATTTGACAGACGCTCCTCAACAAGTACAGCTCGCCACCGCTCGTCAAACTCCATAGAGAAAAACGAAAATCATGCACCCAAGGCACCCATCTCTTCTCAGGAACCTAAAAATCAATCACAATCCCAGCCTCAAACATTCAAACTTGAACCCGCATCTACGAAGAAATCTAACCTAGGGCTCGACTCAACTAGACCCACCAAAAATACTTCCAGGCCCTCCCCAGCGCAACCCCGTCCAACAAAGAGTGAGCGCCACAATTCCCAGCGTTTAACTCTCCCACAGCCAGAGTCCGAAGGTGAACGGGCCGTGCGACGTGAAGTATTTGAGGAAAAAGCCAAGGAGTTACGAGATGAGAAATTGGTTGGTGCTGGAGGAGACGAACACGGAGCTCTTTCCTTACATGACACTCGTGGAAATGGACATGTACATGCCCATAGAGAGGGCATGGGGATCGATGCAGGGCAAGCAGGAGATGAAGCAATACGCCAAAAATTGACGGTGGAAAATGTAGGGAGATTGGAGCGACAAGAAAATGAAGAAATGGAGGTAGCTGCAAAATTAGAGCTTGGGATAGGGAATGGGAGTGGAAGTGGGAAGGAGATAATGAGACAGAAAGAGAAAGGAGGGGGAGTAAGGAGAATGAGTGTGGTCAGAGGGGATAGTATGCAGGTTTGGGGAGATCCGTTGGGGGGGGATTTAAGCCTAGAAACTTTAAGTAGGAGTGATACACACACACCGAGTTCCATGTTAGCTGCGGATGGAAGGGCATCTGAGAGTCCGAAAGTGATGGAGAGTCAAAGGGGAAGTGAAGATTATTTGAACGGAAAGAATAGGCATAGGAAGGAGAAGGATGTCGATGAAAATCAAGATGAAAATAGAGAAGAGAGCAAGGGGACCAACGATAGTGATCCAACCCGACCGAGTCTGGCAAGGAGATGGATGGATAGTCAAGTTACAGTCCGAGGATCGTCTGCTGGAGATTCCTCAGGATAGATTTCCTGACAATATTCTGGATTCATGTATAGGATAGGATAGGGTAGGCTGGGCCGGCGTAGGCCGGGTCATACGATATGTTATGATATGACAGAGGAATGCATATCCGGCGGTATTTTAATGAGCAAGGCGTTTGGAAATGGGGTTTTTCATCTGCGGTCACTTGTTCTTTTGCACTGCATAGTATACGTCCGTTATCGCATGGTGCGATATCAATTGGGTTTACATGTATCCAATTGAGAAGGGAGGTGAATACGTACGAATCGTACATATTTCATACATACACAATAAATACGTAGAGATAGGAGGTAGGTGATGGGTTGTAAGATATGATTATGATGAAAGGGTTGGCTGGCGGCGGAGGCTTTGTTCACTTGATTGTTCACTCGCGCGATGTTTGTATAATATGATTGAAGGATTTTATTAAGGATTTTTGTTGATAACTCATGTAAATGTGTATGTAAGTCTTATCTTACATAACGAATAAATGAATGAATGCGAGGAGAGGAGAGGATATTCAAAGTAAGTACAAGAAGTAAGATCGATGAAGATATCAATCTATCATAGCGCAAGTAATCAGTTAAACTGGACAGGATTGAATTGGACGGGGAAAATGCAAAAAAAAAACAATAAGACATGGAAATCGAATCTCCTGTGCGCACTAGATAAATGAACAATGTTTGAAAACTTCTCAAAAATCTCTTTCCCCCGTTCCTATGATCTCTTCGCCGCTCTACTACGATACGTAGACTTTCCTTTCCCTCTTATTCCTTCTCTTCTTACCGTGCTCCTATACCTCCCACATCCCATCCCATCCCATCTCACCATGTCTCATCATGTCTCATTCTCCCCCTAAAAAACCCAAGTAAAAGTTTCCTTAACTTCGAAAGGAATTTTATGCCTACACACACACACACACGCCATTAGCAATTATACTTTATAGACGAGAAAATCTTGCTCCACCCTGCAGAAAGTTCGGGGAGAAGAACAAAGCTTGCTACTCACCTAATATCCGCGGCGCTGGCGCCAACCCACGCCTCAAATTTCCCCTCCTCTGCAACCCATAACCCCTTTCCGTCTCGATAACTATCATCCCAGTAGCCGAGCGCATATCTATCGATATTAATATCCACATTCTTTGATTCGCCAGCTGCAAGATCCACTTTTGCGAATCCTTTGAGTTCTTTTTCTGGTCGGGGGAGTTTGCTCTTGACATCGTGGATGTAGAGTTGGACTATTTCTTTTCCTTGCACTGAGCCTGTGTTGGTAACTTTTAGGTGGAGCGTTATTTTTTCTTGTGAGGCTGAGAAAATAGTGGAGGATAGTGTGGGAGAAGAGTAGGAAAAAGTGGTGTATGAGAGGCCGTGACCGAATGGGAAAAGGGGGGGAAGGGATAAATGGTCGTAGTGGCGGTAACCGATATAAAGACCTTCACCGTAGAGGGAACAGAGGTTTTCGCCTGGCCAGGTGTGGTAGGTTGGGTTATCGGAGAGGCGAACGGGGAAGGTTGTCTGTTGGGGAGGGGAATGATGTTAGTTGATTGGTCGATTAGTATTATAAGACATGAAGATTGATGTTAAAGTCTGAAGGAAGGAAAGAGGTAGGAACTGAATAACAATCACATACAGGTAACTTCCCACTCGGATTCTCAAATCCAAAAAGTACATCAGCCAATGCGTTTCCCGCTTCCTGACCTTGATACCACGCCTGAAGTATCGCTGGAACTTTCTTTGCCCAAGGCATCGTCACCGGACTTCCTGACTGATTGACCACAATTGTATTTGGGTTTGCCTCTACAACTGCATCGATTAATCGGTCTTGACTTCCATCACTAGGTAAATCCATAGTCTGACGATCATACCCCTCACTTTCCCACTCTGCATCGAGACCCACGATAACAATCGCCACATCTGAGGATTTTGCTGCATCAATAGCTTTCTGCAAATGGTCCTCAGTATCCGCTTCTTTATAGCCGATGCGACATCCGCCTGTAGCGTGTGTCTGCTTAAGTTGTGCTTGTTTGGCCAATGGTCGGATCTCATTTGTTGTTTCGGCTACCAGCTCGACGGGAACATTGGCTTCAAGGTGAATATCAAAAAGAATATCTTTACTGCCCGAAAACATCGCTTCACCTAATTCCGTCCAATTCCACAAATCGACTTTTACATCGCCGTTGACGAGAAGTCGTCCGGGGCCTACGCTTGAGAATGAGAGGGTATGCAAGCCAGTGGTGGTGGGTGTTAGCATTGTCTTTGCACGGACAGACCAGATGGGATTCACTTCTTCAGGGACAGAGTCCCACAGGAAAAGATCTGTGTTGGTGCGGTGTTGGATTATTCGAGGGGCTCCTTCGAACTTATCGCCGATGTGAAATTCAAGGGTTACACCTTGAGCGCCGGTAGAAGTGGTACAATAGTCTGCTGCAAGAGGAAGCCATTTGTAGGTGTGACAGCCTAGAGCATATTTGATTTCCTTTCCAGGTATGGCTTTGATGCTATCCAGCGGGATGGTGCTGTAGTAAGGATTCAAACTAGCACTACCCCCACCCCCTGCTATTGCTCGATTGGCATTTGGTCCTATGACTGCGATTTTCTTTTGGGACATTTTGATTGGTAGGACTTTGTTTTCATTCTTCAGAAGGGTCAATCCTTCAGCTCCTGCTTGACGAATTAATTTCCTCGTTTCTTCTCTGTCGTCTTCAGCTTCGGGGGCTTCAGGTGTCATGTCAGATCCTTTTGTCCGTTCCACAAGATATAATACGTTTGCAGCAGCTTTTTCAACGGCCTCTCGGCTCAGTTCCCCGTTTTTTATCGCTTTAATTACTTTTTCGCCTCGCCATTTTGTTGACACGGGCATTTCTAGATCACAGCCTGCTTCGATGGATTCTGCAATTGAGTTGGTTCCACCCCAATCGGACATAACCAGGCTAGACTGTGTCAGTAACTGATATGATCAAGAGGATGCAAGACTGTTACCCATCATAGCTCCATTCCTCTCTTAGAATTTCCTTCAGCGTGTGGAAGTTACAGTCTGCATGAACTCCATTGATCAAATTATACGAGGACATTACGGCCCAAGGATTAGCTTCTCGAATGGCCATTTCGAAAGGACGCAAGTATAATTCTCGCAGAGGTCTTTCTTGGACTATAGAATCAATAGTCAATCTAAATGTTTCTTGTTCATTAGCTACGAAATCTGTGTACATAGTCAGCCAGATACATGTGACAACGGCACAACATAAAATGTTTCTTACGTTTTATCGTTGCGGCAACACCTTTCTCCTGCAACCCTTTGATGTAAGCGACAGCGAGTTTTCCTGTAAGGAAAGGGTCTTCCGAGAAAGATTCAAAGTTCCTTCCACCCAATGGACTGCGATGTAAACAAACAGTTGGTGCCAATAAAACCTGGGCCGATCGAGCTTTGGTTTCATCAGCAAGATGTTGCCCGACTTTGTGAATAAGATCGGTGTTCCATGTTGCTGCTAGTGATATACCGCATGGAAATAACGCAGCCTGAATCTGTTAAAAAGCCGCTTCTTGCTGGAATACTTCAGACAAACCTTTGTTCCAGCCTTGAAAATTGCCCCACGAGCACCTAAATTTAGTCAGTCATAGTGTATAAAACAGTCGGCTTGATTATACGCCTTGCATTGAGGAATTGTAGAGCGATTTGAATGCTTAGAAGGAAGTAAATATTTACCATTTGGGCCATCGGAAGTCTTGAATGCCGGTATTCCCTTAGAAGGAATCGATTTCGATCTCCAAAAGTCCGCTGCCACGAGTAAAGAAACCTAAGTGGTTATTAGTAAGAAGCGATAAATAGAATCAAAGCCTTTTTACCTGCTCTTCTAGGGACAAAGACGCAGCCAACTGCCAAGATTTTGTTCTTGGATCAAGCGTAGTATAATTTTGCCAAGGACTTTCAGGAGGGAAGATTTCAGAATCGGGTGTTGCGACTGTATTCCTACTTGAGATAGCATCCGACCCTTCTTCAAATCTATCGAAGATAGGGTCAGAGATTTGGCTATCTGGTGATTCTGCCATTCTGTACGGCAGTGAAATGATCGAGGGCGTTTTTTGGAATTTAAAATTAGATAATGGGAACCCTTGGGATATCAACGAACGAATGGAGAAGCGAATGATGCTAGCGTGCGGCGAAGTATATCAACCGTTCCCCAACAACAATGAATTCCCCTAATATCACAAAAGAGCAAGAATGAGTAGATGGACCAAGAGATATCTTATAAAGCTCAACGCTAGAGTAGCATGCAAGGAGCAATCTACCTTGCATATAAACTCGGTATCAATCTTTCCAGAGACCGACCCGGTCAGCTGGCTTCACTTGATACTCCTCATAGCTGGTGCTTCTACGGATGAGCATCCCATACGCCGCATAGAAGAAGGTAAGGCGATGTAAAGTATTACGGATAATGTATGGATACACTCGTTCCATGCATGAAAACGGCTGAATAGAAGTTGACATGGATCCGGTATAAAATTTACATGACTACAGGCTACTGTTCTTACAACCCTGCACCTTTGCAAGGAACTGTTGGTGTGACGCTCCGTTGTGGGGTTAAACTTTTACCAGATCAATGACAACTTTGCTCAGCCTTAAAGTGAGCAAATTTGTCAATCCAATGGTGAGGACGGTATGAACGGACCGGCTCAGCGATTTTTGCAATTTAGGAAGGTAAGACGTGCTGCTCAATGCTTTTGAGAGAGACACTATTGTATATCTCCTTGATATACTGGCAGAATTCAGGAGATGATAGCGGGAAGAAAAACGGTGACAAGGGTCTTGTCAACTTGAACGGATGTTACCCATCTTTCGCCAAATATCCAACTTGGAATGAATATCAGGAGAGAATATGCAGAGATCTCGCCTAGGCAATGTAGGGTATCCATCTAAGTGGTATTTTAACCTCTAGGCTCAATCTTTGTCATACCTCCAAAGCACTGCATAAAAACCTCACGCTGATAGATACCCTGTTGAGATGCGTCTGCGTCTGTAACGCGGACATGCGGGCCGGCTTCGCCTCCAATGAGCTTTCGTTTGTACCATGAGCATGATCGTCGATTTGAGAATGTATATATACGATCTGGAACTTATTCTATTGACCACTCGGAAAAGTATGAAAACGTTTTGAAGGATAAGTTGAATGTAGCTCTCGATGCTATGGTCGCTATTCCTATTTGCTTTACCTCGAGGCGTGTATGTGAGTATATGAAGTGTGAGCTTGGAGAAGACCCAGGGTGCTTGCTTTCGGCAATTCCAGGTACTCACCCAGCTCTACTAACTGATAGTGGATAAGTTCCGGAAGCAGTCCCATCATGTGATATTGTGTCATGTGACCCTCTGGTAAGCGCCACAGTGGAGATTCATTATCGTTGCTCGGAAATGCTTGCATGTCTTTTCACCGCGACGGCATTACCTACTCACCAATTTTTATCTTGAAGCGAACTTGTGCATTCCTATGTCTATGCCTTTACAATTTCAAGCTCACTTCCAACGGTACTTGTACTCTTATCGGGGGAAGTAAGAAGTTTGCTTCATTTCTCTACTCAGCTCAGCTTTACCTACCTAGTACCTTACACTTACAACTAATTTAGTTATCAACTCTAATCCTAATCTAAACTTCAACTCTCTTCTTCTCATGCAGGTCCTTGACACCGTTTCGTGAAACCCAAGTCAAGTCTTACCATAATTGTTGCAATATATCTGCATGACATCTTGCATTTACATATCCCATTATAATGGCCGAAACACCAAGCCATCGTCAATCCCTTGAAGCACCCGATGAGCCACCCGAACCATCATCACCAGAAAGAGATCAATGGGAATCCACTGAACTTTCAGAACTAGCCCACATACGACAAAATTATACAACCGCCTCATCTTCTCATGCATTAGGTCCTGGTAGTACAGCATCTACTGGATATTTTGGTCGATTGACCTATAATGTCTCAAAGTTTTGGAGACACCAAATCAGCGTAACTGTTGACCATGCTGCATGTAGAGACCATTTAGGTACGTATCATCACTTTATCCTTTTTCATCGATCCGACTCAGACCATCTATAATGACAAGGTATATTTACCTGTTATAAAACTCGGAGATTCAGGGCCGAAATACTCCGGTCAGCTGAGATTTAATTTTCATTTATATGCAGTACTCTCTCTATGTGTCTATCAGAATCTGTACGTTTAGTCTTGGCATTCTTCATTGTATCTGGTTCTTGCCTCAGTATTGATATGTCCCTTTGCTCTATGTGTTCACCGTCTAGAGTTTCGTAGATGAATTTACTAACGTATCCCTACTAGCCGTGGAAAGAACTTTCCTAGCATTTCTCAGGACTTCATTGGCCTTGTCAATGTTAGGGGTATCAGTTGCACAACTATTGTGTGTACTCAACCAACTTGGAAGTACTATGCTATTACTGACGTGTATACAGCCGTTTGCAGCATTCCCCCACGCCAAATCCATTAATAGGGTTCTTCGTACTAGGGAAACCTCTAGCTTGTATCTGTCAGGTTGCTGCAATCACAACTTTGTTGATAGGAATTTTCAGAAGTTGGAGACATCAGAACGCTATCGTGAGAGGTAAAGCTCTCTCAGGGGGTTTGGAAGTCATTATCATTGGAGCTGGATTTTTCTTTGTGGGTGAAGTTCAACATCATGGGAATACCATACTTATGATATGTCATTGAATGAACACTGCTAACATAAGTTAGATATTTCTAGCATTTCTTATACTTCTAATTGTTGTGGACATTTTGAAAGAAGATTTGAAGTCCGATAAGTGATGATGTTATTCGTTGATTTTGAGGTATTGAAATGCCTCGGACCAATATCGTCTACTTTGGACTCCTCGGACCAGCATGTATTGAAGCAAGTCACTGCAAGCACGTTCATCTGACTTCATTTCATTGAAAATCGGGGATATTTATATTGATAGCTAAGTACATGCATACCCGTCGCCACGTGCTTGAAATACATTGGGAACAGGGGAGAAGTATGGTCATATTACTCTTTAGACTCTGGCTGCAGACCAACGGAAAGAACTTACTACAAATCTGGGGCTCTTCTGCATGAAATGTCATTGGCGGATAAATTTAGATGGCATATGTATTCTGAATGATCCCAAATGTGGGAAATTTACTATAATGCCGGCGCATTTGAAAGCCCATGTGCCTTCATGATCCGTTTGCAGTAAGCAGTCCCCCGGGTCTCGTAGCGACATTACTTATACCCATGTTTTCATATACGGCAGGAGAGAGAAGGAAGTTAGGATTATTAAATATCCATATTCTGACAAGACAGCTTAGCGATGGTAAATGTCATGAATCCATTGATTCTATGAATCTATATGAATGTGATAGATACATATGAGTAATATTTTATCATGATGTTTCCAACCAACCAACTGAACTTATCAAACATCTACCTATGATCAAGCAAGTATTAGAATTTTCATGTGATACGCACACGTATTTATGAGATTCAATACATTGAATCACTAATAACTCTAGTGATAATGGTGACAATGGTGATCATGATGACGATGATGACGATGAATGAGATATGATCACATGATTAAACATCACATGTCATTCACCCAACACAGTCATCCATCCATATGTACTAGTTACCAGGACTAACCTTACCTAATAGATAAATAGCGTTTGTTCAAAAATTCAAGTTTTACATAATCAAAATACATCATACTCACACACAACAAACGGAGTAGCTCTTGATCTTCTACTCTGTACATGATAAATTTTGCTTTCATTTCTAAAAGCTTATCCTCATTTTACTAATTCTGACAATTCGAGTCGATTCATTCACTATTATATTACTAACACTTACTCTTGTGACTCGTAAGACTTACAATTAATTAATTATTTATTCTTTCTCCTTTTCATTTTTATTCATTAGTGAATAATTATCATTCATTGCTCGGACGTTTGATTTAGATGTTAAACACACCTTTTTGAGTACGGTTAAGAGATTAAAATCAATATAACTTGATAAGGGATTGGCTGAGATCCGAAATCGCAAAATATCGCAAAGTATCGCAAGACACAAGAGGGGCGTCATCTTTTTAAATCATCTCGTACCACGCCACATCTTTTCAAATACAAATACAAATACCAATTCCCATTTCACTACCAATACCAATACACCTCTCTCGATTGATACCTTCACCGACTCTTTTCAACGACAATCTAAGAGTCTGGTAAAGAAAGAGTGTACACTCTTCAAATCTTCAGAGATGGCTTGGTCAAAGTCAACGCGCATTCTGGTCATGCTATTGATCGATGCCGTCTTTTTTATCGTCGAATTAGGCGTTGGTTTATGGGTTGGATCATTGGCATTAATGGCAGATGCTTTTCACATGGTAAGATGTTTCAAGAAGAAATGGACCTGTCTCTGTGCTAACATCTAGCTAGTTGAACGATATCATATCTCTCGCTGTTGGTCTTTGGGCTGTTAAAGCTGCTCGAAGAAACATTACTGATAAATATTCTTTTGGCGTAAGTAGTTACACAAATCGAGGACTTCCGAACGGGAAGCTACGTTACCAAGAGGGAAACTAACTCTTCTATAGTTTTTGAGAGCCGAAATCCTTGGAGCCTTTTTCAATGCAGTCTTTCTTATCGCCCTATGCGTATCAATTGTTCTCGAAGCTGTCGGACGTTTTTTTGATCCACCTGAAATCGGGGAACCAAAACTTATACTTATTGTTGGGTCGTTGGGATTGGCATCGAACCTTGCTGGATTTTTCGTATTAGGTGGGCATGGTCATTCTCATGGTCCAGGAGATGGGCATTCCCATGGAGATGAGGTCAGCGCTGCGGAAGAAGGACATGCGCATAGTCATGCTCATGAACACGGATACGAACCATATAGAGATGAGATTAGCGACGAAAATGGAATCGCAGGAGAGGTATTCCCCGAAGCCGTCATCGCAAAAGCCACCGCCAAACGTCAAGTACAATTTACAGAGCCGGATGAAGATGCTTCGACAGCCCGTGATAGTAGCAGTATCATGACTAGATCGCCCAGCAGAAGTTCGAGACAACACACTCATCGAAGACGAACGAGCAAATCCCAATTTTCTAGCTTGGATAATATAAGCATTCACCCGGCAAGCTTTCGACAAGATATTATTGCTGCAAGCAAGACACAATTGGATGGAATTGATAGCGAGGATTCCAGTGAACCGGATGATGATGTTCATGTTAAATCTGGACCTGCACTGACTGAAAACAGTCCTCTTATTTCACATGCTCACGATGATCACTCAGATGCTCACGCTCATAGCCATGATCATGGGGATGGAGGCCATCGTCATGAACATCACACAAGTCGTCAATCTAAGCATGCGGCCCATAATCACAACAACAAATCAAAGAAGAAGTCCGGTGGTCATGGTCACAATCATGATGACATGGGAATGAACGCTATGATTCTTCATGTTATTGGTGATGCTCTTGGAAATGTTGGAGTCATCGTCACTGCTTTGATTATTTGGTTAACTAATTGGCCTGGCCGTTTATACGCCGATCCTGCCGTATCACTTTTCATTACCATCATCATTCTTCGATCCTGCATTCCACTAACCAAAGCTACCGCACAAATCTTGCTTCAAGCTACACCTGATTCAATCGACGTCGCCCTCATCAAAGAGGACATCGAAAATTTCGAAGCCGTGAAGGGTTGTCATCATGTACATATCTGGCAACTCAGCGATTCTCAACTCGTTGCGTCTATGCACATTCAAGTTGCCTTCCCTATTGGTGAAGATGGAGGAGAAAAATATATGCAGCTATCTAAGGAAATTCGAGAATGCTTACACGGTCATGGTATTCACAGCGCAACTCTTCAACCCGAATTTTGCCTCGACAAAGATCATGATCATATTTTTAATGGTGAATCCGTAGGACTAGATGGACAAGCCCAAAACAAATGTGGAATGGAGGATGATGATTCATGTTTATTGGAATGTGTTGATAATTGCAAGGGAAAAGGTTGTTGTTCGACGCAGGCGGCAGAGCCGCAACATGACCACTCGGATCACGATGGTCACTCCCATTAGATCCTTCTTTCTCCTTTTCTTTTGTTCAGATGTCCTGAGTTTTGACACAATAACACACTTCTTCTCGTGTAAGATGTCGCTTTCTTGTTGGCTCTTTCTTGGCTTCGTATTTGCATTGCGGGACTGGGTACATACATACATATACAGTCGAATAGACTTGAGCTTTAATGATGGGTGTTAAGATTTGCAATATGGCCTTATGGAGGGGATTGGTTGATGATCTTTGCCGGCGTGGAGAAAAGACAAGCGATAGGAAAGAGAAAGGGCAGATGGACACATCATCTCTTATTTCGTGAACGAAAGAGGATGAAAGGCGAGCGAACTTTTTTTTGCTTAAGATAATTGGTAATGGATGAAGGAAGACATTCTTAATGGTGGACAAAAAGAAAGAGAAAATTTTGTACAGTATGGATGAATGGTATGATTAGTAGGGTATAAAAGTTACTTGGTGGGTTTGTTGGGCTGGCTGTTGGGTTGATATCGCTTGTTGAGCTGATGAGGTGGATGCATGCAATGCATGAGATAGGATGGATCAGCAATACAGTCAATGATTTACATAAAACCCGTCTCTTCTCCCTCTGTGTGCGTACATAATTTAGGTACTTCTCCCTTACGATTCCTTTGATATTTTTATAATTGGAATGTCTATACTTTTGGGTCAGGAATCCAAAATAGGGAATCAAAGTGTGTATTAAAATACCCTTGAATAGAGGGCTCTCTCATATCTCTACATCATCCTAGCGCTTCTACTGATGAACTGAACTGAAGTAAGCCAAAAGATCTAAAGAAGATGCTTATTTCTTGAGTGAAAATGAGGAAGCGATGTGACGGAGGTTGATGGCTGGTGTAGAGTGTGAAATAATTCCCTAGTACACACTGTATGTTTCTTTGGAAGTGGAATGGTGGAACGGTGGCTTGTATGATAGGGGTATGGGATGGAGTATGGGATATAAAGTATGGAGAGGAGAGACAAAAATGACAATTAGTGGAGAAATATGGAAGAAAGGACTGGGTAGGTGAATATTCTAGGGTTTGGGTTATGTAACTTCATGTCAAGTTTGCTGGTTTAATAGCTCTCTCCTCATGATTGTGATTGAGGAGGAAAAGGGGGGGGGGGGGGGGTATC